ATACAGAGGGATCACGGCGGGCGTGACAGGTCGACAGGCATGCTTACTCCTTCTGGGCATCAGGTCCAACTCTGGTGTTTCCAGGGGCCATGTTTTTGCCTTGTTCGCAATTTGCAATGTTGAAAGGATTTGTGGGATTGATTAATGTTCGCTTTCTTCACAATTCTCATTTAAGGTCTTTCGTTGTTTCCAGGGGTCCTTGTTTTCGAACTGTTCGCAGTTTATTTTGTTGAAACTTGAAAGTATTTATGACGTCGATTTCTGTTCGTTATCCTCACCTTTTACATTTTAGGTCTCTCATTTTCATGACATCACACCTAGGGGATTTCAGTTTATGACCTGATAATGACGTGATTTCACGTTATTGTTCTGATCTATATCTATATTTTTACAATCCATTGCAAGAAGAGTTCAAAACTGTTGCAAAGCATATTATCCAGCACCACATTTAAAATAACTCAAAGGAAGAATAATTTTCCATGAAAAATCTATGTTAAAGAATGTACAAATATAAATTATACAGATATATATATATATATATATATATATATATATATATATATATATTGTTTTGTTATTGTTTAACGTCCCTCTCGAGAGTTTTTTACTCATATGGAGACGCCACCACTTGCCAGTGGAGAGCTGCAAATTTTGACCTATACTCGGCACTCAGGGCCATTGAACAGTGAGGGATCTTTTTCGTGCCAGCACATACTGCGACACGGGACGTCGGTTTATACGGTCTCATCGGAAAGACCGGTCTCCACGTCCCACAGTGGGATTCGAACCCTGACGTAAGGATCAACGCCTTACTCCACGACTCTAGAGCGAACGCTCTAACAACTGCGCCACGCGGGCGACCAGGTATGGTATATATATATATATATATATATATATATATATATATATATATATATATATATATATATATATATATATATATATATATATATATATATATATATATATATATAATGTTAAAGTAAATGTAAAAATAGGTTATCACATGAAGCATTCAAATCCACGCTCTCCTCACCATTACCTAAAGCATAAGGATCAGAGTCCTCACAGGTGTCAATGTCAGGGTCACTGTCCTCTCAGGAGTCACTGAAACATAAGGATCAAAGTCCCCACTCCTCACAGGGTCAATGCCATGGTCACTGTCCTCTCAGGAGTCAGTGAAGCATAAGGATCAAAGTACTTACTCCTCACAGGGTCAATGCCAGGGTCACTGTCCTCTCAGGAGTCAGTGAAGCATAAGGATCAAAGTCCTTACTCCTCACAGGGTCAATGCCAGGGTCACTGTCCTCTCAGGAGTCAGTGAAGCATAAGGATCAAAGTACTTACTCCTCACAGGGTCAATGCCAGGGTCACTGTCCTCTCAGGAGTCAGTGAAGCATAAGGATCAAAGTACTTACTCCTCACAGGGTCAATGCCAGGGTCACTGTCCTCTCAGGAGTCAGTGAAGCATAAGGATCAGAGTCCTCACTCCTCACAGGTTCAATGTCAGGGTCACTGTTCTCTCAGGAGTCAAGTGAAACTTTGATTCCTTTTGTTCATATTCCCTAGTGTTCATCTTACAGAATATAGTCTAGTAATAAAATGACGGGAGTATTACAAATCATTGTGCACACCAAACAGAATATATTTTGACCACAGTTGATCTCAAAAGCATGTACATGTATTAAACACTCTATATTTGAAATCTTTACAGATTAGAAGAATTAAGTCTATTTTGTCATTTTTTTGTCATCTTTTTCGATAATTATACTCCTTTGTGGAATGATTGGCTTTGCATCCAGATATACATATATAACACGTATAAAACCTGTCTGTTCTTTTTTTTTTTTTTTTTTAAATTTCATTCAATAAGACTACATGTATTTCATTCTATCAAGGATCTTTAGAAAATTAACAGATACTGTATAAATATACAGAGTAGGTGTAGTACCCCACCTCATCCATATATATTTAAATAGCTTACTGGATACTGATGTAGTTTTTTGTTTGTTTGTTTGTTTGTTTTTTAACATCTTAAATCGTCGTTATTCAAAGTCGAGTGCTTTCTCGAAATTGAGTTTAAGTCTTAAGTTTACATGTTATCTGATTCTGGATTGTTCTTTTCTTTAAGACTTTGTTTCCCGTTACGAAAGCCTTCCTCTTACTTTTCCAGTAGTTTAAACTTCTCTTTCAGTAGTGGCATTATAAGTACATGTAGTTTGTCAATATTTCTTTTTATACAAGGCTTATCCTACTTTACTTCCAAAAGTATATAAAATTTACTCCCTAATTAAGTTTCAAAACTTTACCTGGACTTTTTGGCTGTCTCAATCAGATACTGCCAAATATTTTCACTTGCTGTATTCTATTATTTTAGCCTTCATAATCTTAATTTTATTATTAATTTGACCAGCTTTGCGTTAGCTATCTATGTACGTTGCACCAAGGGGATACATACTTATTATTATTATTGCTTATTATTTTAAAAAAAACTTTCGGATCCAGGTCCATCAATTTATGAATCTAAGGAATCTTAAGCTTAATTCGATGACATTTTTTAACCATAAAGGATTAAAGCAGATATTACAAATGACCCACAGAGCAGAGGTAAGCCGGAAAGAATATCTGCCATTCCTGATGGTTGCATCGATGTTTTGTATTATTGTAAATCACAGTCTGAATGGTGTATTGGTAAAAGACAAACAAATACAACAGAACAACTTTTTTTTTATCTAAAAGGTGCTACCCTCTACACTATACTCCATTACTAAGATACATGACCATAGAGTTAAAAGCATTTAATGAGCCTTGAATTAACTAAACACTAAAAAACAAAGAGAAACGTATTTGCAATTTATTATTCAAGATGATGTCGTAATTAATAAACATCATCATCATGTACATTCATAAGAAAATACTGTAAAAATGACACATACCGGCAAGTATCATTACAAAAATTGCATAAAAATAGAAAGATTATGGAATTCATACCAGGATCTACAGGGGGTATGAGGAGGTCCAAATCCCCTGGATTTTCGGATCTCAAGAAAAACATACAGGAAATCTTCTTTTTTGCTCCTCAGGAGGCCCAAATTGGATTAATCAAAGCTTAATTGTACAGTAAATTAAAGTAACCTAAAAGATCTTAGTAATTGGAACCCCATCCCCCCCCCCCCCCTAGAAAACACGGACTCCTGGTATAATGGTGAGAGGAGTCAAATACACATGAAGGGAAGCCCCACGAAATGAGTTTTTCGAATTTGAACAAGTTATAGGAAAGCCCCACGAAATGGGTTTTCCGGGTTCGAACAAGTTGTTAACGTTTCTTTTTTTATCGTGTCAAAAGTTTCTTAAACTTCTCTTTGTATAATCCAATTTTTATATATATTTATTATATTTACACCTACACAGGTAAATTACGAAAAATAATAGAAGATCTTTATGATTATCTGAAAATCGGTCACTGACTCTCTCATTAAATACGCAAGCTTTGCATTATTCAGTATCGGCGGCATCAGGCGAGAGGAGGAGGATGCTATTTACGGTTTATCTGATGTCTATTCCGTTTTATAACTTAAATAAATCCAGTAGTAAGGAAGAACAAAAAAAAAAAAAAAAAAAAAAAAAAAAAAAAAAAAAAAAAAAAAAAAAGAGAGATGGTTAGTGACATTTGTTCGCAAGAGGATAATTACACTTTACATTAATATACAATGTATAATCATCGTTTAACAAACTTAATTATGATTTAACGTTTCATGTATTCGAAGTCCTACAAATACTCTCAACAGATAGCAAGGAGAGTAATTACATAATCGCATGTTGAATGTTCGGTTTTCTGTAATAACCAAATGAAACGATGACGTATTTTTTCCTGTTCCAAAAGGCCATACGTTAGTTTAAAAAAAAATGATTACATTGAAGTTCAAATGACCAGTCTTTGGTATATCACCGTAATGTTTACAGTCCAAACACGCTTCCTTTTTTTTTTTTTTTTACAGCTAGGCCTTAATTTCCCCGGGGACTAAACTTTTGCAGTTTACGTGTATATATTTTACGTGATATTTCACAAAAGGACAAGGTATGGTTATGGCAAATTTGGCCCTTTATTTCGAATAAAAATCAAAACACATTAAAAATTGTGATATTTTGAAATGATGCTTGTTTTATAACCAGTATTAATTTGGATCTTGTGATGTCATCGTTTAATTATGCAAAGAGAAAAACATTTAATTTTTTTGAAATAGAAGTAGGTATCACATGATTGGCAACAGTAATTTTTAATTTTTTATGTCAAGGGAAAAAATAATGACCTTGACCTGACCTTGCTCCTAATAACACAATCAAATTAATCTATAATTGATACCATTACTTTGTGATATTCTTGAATATGTGAAAATTTCATTAATTTCAAATGCAATAAATATGAAAAGAATCCTTCCTTAAATGTCATAGGAACTTCATGTAATTGATATTTTTCAATCTACATATTTTACACATGATTCCTGACAGAGTGAATACTTTGCTATTGCAGTTTTAACGTTTGTCATTACTATCACTTGTGATTACATTTTGGGATTTCAGTAACAATTTATGACGTGTTTTCGCGTCATTTTTCCGATCTATATTTAGTATCATTTACATTTACAAGTCAATCTTAAAAATTAAGAATTCCAAAATATTGCAAAACCTCTTACAAGAGCTCTTTTATTGCCAAATTTTGAATAACTCACAACAATTAAAAATCTTTCAAAATATTATCTGTACAAATCTGATAATTTTCACTTTTTTTAATCAAAATATGTTGTCACAACAGAGACATAAATTACATACACCAAAATTGTATGATGCACACACTGTCCTAATTTTCTTTGGACTCAACCTGTTTAATCGAAACCATGTAGTGTAGTAACGAATTACTAAGAGAACGACTTGTTTCGTGCATGTAGAATTAACTGGTCCTCAAGAGAGGAAAACCAGTTAATAATATTGACATGGATTGCTAATTTACTAAATCAGGTGTGGGTTCAAATATTGTAATATTTACCGAGATGTATCGGGCATTGTATACCTATGTAGCCAAGACAAAGAACTTTGATTTGTCCTTTGAAGCCAGCGATCAGTTTACAGATCTAGAGAAACCGGAGGGCGGATGGCTGCTTGTGCAGAATGGATTTGGAGAAATTGGATATGTACCTGCTAGTTATGTTGAGAAAGAAGACAATGTAATTCAGCATTTATTTGTGACTTTTTAAATTCTCTTTGAAAATTAGATGATTAACACAGATCAATTTAATCTGGTCTTTTAAAATGACCTACTTAAGATGTGTGAAAATGCGCAGTGAATCAACCTCGAGTAGGAGGAGTTGATCATATGCCTGAAACAATTATTCACGTGTAATATGTCTTTTTATGTAATTATGTAATAGCTAGTTAGATACGTAATATACTAGCTTCAGTTTAAGGAATTTTTTGGCTACATATATTCTGCTTAGCAATTAAGCACAAAATGCATCAGTACATGTGAAACACCATGTTTTGCTTACACATTTTTGTAACATTCCTTAGCAACCCATTCATGAGTAATATCAGTATTTTACCATTTAAAGTTTTTATTTTTTTTTTCACAGTCCACCTTGGCAGAGATTCTGAGCTCAGTAGATAGGGCCATACAAAACATACATTACCAGGCAGCAGCCTCGGGAACCTACACACACCACCAAAGGGAAAACTTGCAGTATGTATACTGTCTCCCAAAAAACATATGTAATTATCCAACACCAATTTATTTATTAATGTCAAAAAGGGGCTGTTTTTGACCATAAATAATGATAAATTAGAGTCATCTAGCCAGTTAAATTCCAGATACATTTCTGCAAATGGTCAGTTACAATTTGAATGTTTATTCTGTTTAGTAAATAATGGTAGATAAATTGGTGAAAAAACTGACTTTCAGGTTAGTAAAAAAACAGGACATTGGAAGCATGAATTAAAGCAGTGTGGTTTAAAGAAAAGCATCAAGTTGATGCATGAACATGTTGAAAAAAAAAAAAATCAGGGCTCGACATTAAGGTTTGTTAACGCTTGTCCAGTACCAGTGAAAAAAAATTACGGACAAGTGAATATTGCTGGGCATTTGTCTGATTGGACAAGAGCATTTTAATTTAAAGAAGTCTCCAAATAATAAAAAAAATGACTGTTGAACATTTACAGGTAGTGTAAAGATGGAATTAAGTCCTTTTATCTTGTTGTTAGGACAGAAAGTCTAGATAAAATTTTGTTTTATGTATTTGTTATATTTATCAATAAAATCACAAATCAATCAAGCACATGTAATGGAATTTATTTTAGTTTTCAAGTTGACAGTATTAGATCATTTTTTGAAAATTTTTTGGACAAGTGAAGTTGAAGTTCGGACAAGTAAATGTCTTGGTCACTTGTCTGAATGGACAAGTAGGAAAAAAAGTTAATGTCGAGCCCTGGAAATGATTTCCTGCATAGAACAATCTTTAAACTGATTTGCCTGTAACTTATCTAGTGTGCTTAGCAGTATATGACCTAAACAGAACATTTCTATTTGTCTGCAGCAGTATATATATTCACCTCATCACAGGATCTCTATCCACCTATAATCAATATTTTCCCAACTTTTCTTTGCCAAATGCTGCTTGACTGTCTCTCTTCATTTTTACCTCTAGTGCCCTCATCTTCACTTCATAGCATTTGTTACCAGGAACCTTTTTTTCAGATGGTTTAAGTGAATTCCCATCTCTTTTTGTTTTTGTTTTGTTTTATTTTTTACTAAACTGAAGTGATTGCCAAGAATATAAGAGACATATAATATAACTCTAATTGCATTTAATTTTATATGTACAGAGCAAACACTTGTATGTGTACACTTGATGTGCTAGTACTGTTTGGATATAGCTAAACACATGAAACTTGGTAAAACCTGCTATCTGTATAATGTTTTGTTTCTTCAAAACTCGTGTAATGATGTGTATTAATAAGCACTCTTTTCTGAATATTCCTACATGCTCAAAGTTCTACTATTACTACCATTCAAACAAGGTGACTAGGCATCAAATGGAATTGACTTTGTTTTGTTATTGTGTGACATTCTTATTGTTTCTAATATTTATTTCAGTGCTGCAACTCAGTATGTGTAAAAACTCTTAAGTTTAATTCACAGTGCAGAAAGTTTTTTTTAATCAAACAAACATTTCTTTTCAGTAAACTTGGGCTGCATAGAGAACATGTGTTGAGGGAGCATGGACCTCAAGGGAATGTTGAGCATCATTTGTTGGAACACAGACACACTCCTAGTGATAGCGGGTCAGAATCTAGTCATCACAGTGAACATAGCTCCCCAGAAAAACATTGGCATTTATCAGGTTAGTATCTGGCTGTACCATGCCACCAAGCAGAACTGGATTCAAATGACAGAAATGGTTAGAGGAAGATACCTGTATTTTTGGGGTAAATTGGTCAAAAACTAAAAAAAAAATATTTTCACTTACCTAAAGAATGATAAGACATTGACTCATGTAGATTTTATTTAAGAGATGGTTTACTTTTACATAAACACACTTTGTCAGGAAAAATATTTAAACATACATACCGGTACTTCTCATTCACTACTATAGCATTTTAGAGCATTGCGAAGTTTAGGGTAAAGAATGTCATCATTTTTTATAGGAGACTACTGTTAGCCATGTTGAACATTAATAGTTTTTCTAGTTTCTCAGTGTTTCATTTTTATGCGCCCGGATCGATAGATCGGGGGTGCATATTGTTTTTGTCCTGTCTGTCTGTTTGTCTGTCTGTTGTCAACTTTAACCTTCGCCATAACTTTTGAACCATAGGAGATAGAGACTTCATATTTGGTATGCATACTCCACTAATTAAGTTCTTTCAAATGACACCAAGGTCAATGACCTTGTGACCTTGACTGTGACCTATACGCTTAAAATAGCTTTTTCGATCTTTGTTGCGGCCGGGTGCATAGTGTTTCACAAACACATCTTGTTTAATAGTTACATATTACAGTGTATTGCATAAAAATTATTTAATGTATTTATTTATAATCCTTTGCAAAATGTACATTTCCTTATTAGTAATCACTGTTACTCTCTGTCCATTTGTAAATACATTTGTGTGATATGATAACACAGTTACTATTCATTATACAGACTTCACATTCACTATGTACATACAGTATATAATTTCACATAAGTTGGATTAAGTCCAAAACTTAATGTCCAATTAATATGTGAGTCATAATAAGAGCAGTATTTTTCTGGACTATAAAATGAAGTATTTAATTCTCAACAACTCTGACAATTTTCATTAAGATTCCTCCATACAGGAAAGGAGCATCTATTTTCACCATTACCATCAGCATATATTCTACACAGTAACTCAAATCCTTTTCACTTTTTTAAACCCATATTCATGCCATAGTGAAGAAAGTTTAAAGTAATTCTCACGATTTGAGGGTAAAAGGTCTACATTGAATTTTTTGTTAGATGTTGGACAACTGATGAAGAGACACTCCAAGCGACCAGCTCCCCCACCACCAGCTGCTCCCCCAGATCAGTCCTCCCAGCCAAATACTCCGTGGCCACATCATAGCGTATCCCCTCACACCTCACCAGAGGCTCACAAAAGTCCCCACTCCTCATCAGGATCAATGAAGCATTCAAGTCCACACTCCTCATCAGGATCAATGAAGCACTCAAGTCCACACTCTCCTCACCGTTACGTGAAGCGTAAGGATCAGAGTCCTCATTCCTCACAGGGGTCAATATCAGACTCACATTCCTCCCAGGAATCACTTAAGCATAAGGGCTTTAGTCCACATTCATCAAAAGGGTCTTTGAAACATTCATCTTCTCATGAATCTGCAAAAGCAGGACCCTCTTATCAACCAGAAAGTAAGGAGGTACATGATAATGGCTGGGTGCATGTAGATGACAATGACGGTAAGCCTGTGTCCACCACTGAGGGTCAGATTAAACCAGAGTCTAACATTGCCCCTCGAGGGACCTCCATTGAGAGCGCTGAATCCTCTGACCATTCTACTGGAGCATCAAACCTATTGTCAGTTACTGAAAACAAAATGCTGAAGTCTGAAAGTGTGATTTCTCTGTCTTCTCGACTGTCCATCTCTAATAGTCCAATCAAACAGCTCGAGAGTCCCAGTATTATCAATGTCAACAGCATTCCCCTCCCCTCTAACCTGGCCACTGAGCTCGTGGGTGAGGTCAGGAGACACACTAACCTTAGCTATGACAAGTCCTGTCTGGCAGTGGAGGTGGTCCTGACTCACATTGCCAACAAAATGCCACAGACTGCAGGACTGATGGAGAAGATACTCTGTACATTCCAAGAGGTATATTTCTAATAGACTTATAATGTATAATAAGATTGAAATTGAACTTCTATACAACATTTTTCTGTAGGAAATTTGTATCTCAAGATAGTTCCGTATGGAGATACTCAGGTAGTGTGTAAAGATTTGGATAGCATGTTAATTCATCACATTAACACTATCTGTATTTGGAAAATGTTATGTAAAAATAAATTATCAATTTTTTTTTCTAATGAAAATTAAAATAAAAGTAACTCAGATTTGATAAAAAAAAAAAAGTAATTTACATTTTGTACTAATGTATTAATACTGATAGTATCTTGAAGCTCATTGTTTTATTTCTCATAGATTTAATATACCTATGTAAAATTGATACATGTAGTTCAATGATTTTCAGAATTTTCATTATTCTTATAAGGATGTCTTGGTAATATTTTATTTACCATTACAAATAATTCTGGATGTTTGCTACTCTTGAATGGCAGGATGTCATGAGAAATTCCTCTTAATACTAATAATTAATGTTTACTGTTTGCTGGTGAAGTTTGACCTTGAATTTGAGATACATATAGAGGAGAATGACCCTCTATTAGGGGAGTAACTCTTATATTGATGAATCCCAGTTTCTTTTATGAAATTTTCATCTTCAAAATGATTTTTCTTGAATTCTGTCCTGTATGATATACTAATTTTAATTAATTTTCATTTTAATCTTTTCTTTCAGAAAATTTTCATCTTTTAAAACAAAAATAGTAGAAAAAAAAATATTTTGAGCCAAGTGTCATTTTATCCCTAGTTGCTGAGTGTAATTGTAGACTGACTGGAATATAATTCCCATATATATAATTGAGTGGACAGTGACCAGTTAATGCAAAATATAATTCCATGGTCATTCTTGATGTACAACATGTAAATATGCAAATAAATAGTGCATTTTTTTCTCTGAGCTGAATGCAATAGCTGCAGCCTTCTGTTTTCAAGCATTTTTTAAAATAAATATTCAAAAGCATTATAAGTGAATCTTGCATGAAAGCAAGAAAATTCCAGTGTTTATTTGAAACAGTAATTGAGAATGATGCAGACAATAATTGCATGATGAAGATATAACTCAGATATCTGCCTGCAATGGAGCACTTCCAATTGTACATTCCTGAAAATATATACATGTATCTAAATTAAGTTTTGGTTGACATTTTTGTGTAGAATGTTGTAGATAAAATACTTGGATTTGTATTTTTTAAATTATTTAGGAATACATTGATGATGAATTTTATCTTGTTTATTCTGCAAGGCCAGCACTGCTTCTGAAGATGATCTGAGTCACGATCATGTCCGCATTAGAGAGCTCCTGGAGAAGATCACAGAGTGTAAAGAGGACTCCCAGCAGAGGAGCTGGGCCCTCCACGAGGACCAACATATAATCTCAGGCTACCTCGAGGAGCTGCTCTCAATACTGGTAGGTTGTCTATGTATTTATGCCTTAAATATTAAAAAATAGGGAGAATATTGTGTGTATGTAGTCCCTCTTTATCTTTTTTTTTTTCTCTGGGGCAATCTTCAGCAAAGATCATTACTACTGAATGATTTTAATAATATTAATTCTTGGTCAAGGTCAAGGCTTAATGGTCATAGTCAGAGGGCATTATATTATCACTGTACACTTTCGACTTATTCATATCAAATTCATTTTAGATCTACCTCAGTAATTTATAATGTTTATTTTCATTATCAAAGGAAAACGCAAAACCGTCTACGTGTCGCCATGCAATAGCATCTGATGGTTATGAATGTATCCACAACTTAGTGCAGTATTATCAAATGGTATGTATTATCCCAGTTTAACACAGATACATCATTTGGTATGTGTTACACTAACAAAGTGTATTTTACACTTGCATCATGTGATATTAAATACATGCATAAAAGCAGAGCAGTAAATGATACATATGAATACTACAATGGTTCACTTAAGCATTGAATTCTTATTTTTGGATGTTGTCGGTCCTAAAACACACCTGGCCTTGCTGACAAATTGAATATCGTGCGTTAGCGCGGTATGATAATCGTATATGTTGTAGAGATTTGAATGTCGTAGATTTCTAATGGATTTCATAAAGAAAGTCACACTGAATGTAAATATATTGAAATGAACTCTACACAAAGTCTTCATTATTTATTATCCTACTGCATTTATTTAGGAATCTTCTAAAAATATAACTTTATTTTGTACGATACTAAAGGTGAAAGTATTTAAACCAGATGTTTACTTTTCAGGAGGTACGCCTTCCATTAAGGCTTTCCCTGCTGAAAGTGTTCGGAGCTCTCTGTAATCTAGAGTCCTCTATTATCTCTCATCTGCTGTACTCCATATTGCCTTTAGAACTAGTCTCCGAAATACGCAACCAAAATCAAGGTACTACATATAGGACACCACATTTCACAAATTACAGAAACAAAGTGACAAGTTCATAAAACGTTCTTTATTATTAGAAATTAAATTTTACTTTCGTTTTATTATGTTCATTCAAGTTCTAAAAGAGTAAGTTACATTTTTAATATGGAATGCATAGAAATTTCTCTATGAATATTTCCTCCACATCTTTGACTTATTTAGATAAAAGCTATTAGAATAATACTTTGAAGATTATACCACAGGGCTTTAGATTGCTTTAATCTTACTGACAACTTTAGGGTATTAAAAAAGTAAAAGTGATCGAATGGCCTGTTGATTAGACATTTCTTTTTTGTATTATAGAATGTTTTCTTTCTTTTTATTTTTTTATGAATTTGCATGTACACATACTATAGTGTATTATTATAGAATTTTCCTTTTTTTCCTATTTTGTAGAAGCTCAGAGACTTAGTTACGTAGCTGGAGTTTTGATCATGATTTTCTGTACTGGAGAGCCAGTGCCTGCTAATCTTCATGGTAAAAAAAATATTGGAAACTGAGTTTAAAAAGTCATTTAAAGAATTGCAGTGCTTGATACATAAAATGCTCATGTGAACTTCTTGGCTGTTGGCTGATACTTGTGATACTTGTTCACATTTTTGTCTCCATGAAAAAACCAAACTTTTAATAAAATGCTTATAAGTAACTTTGATAATAGGAAATAGATTAATTTATTAAGGAATGTTTTCAAGGTGATATGAACAAAGTCATTTTATAAATAAGTTAGCTAGCACTGTAGCCATTGTTAAATACAGAAGTACGGTAGGTTACTGAACCAAGTATAAATATGTAGAGAAGGCTGCACGGAGGGTTTCAATTCAGCATGGTGAAACTTCTGTGCACTTCATGCTGGCAAAGGATGACTAAACTGTGCATACATGAAAATGCTTTAAGCTTTGTGTCATTCACGGTAATTTCAAGGTTGAAATGGAAGATGCAGCATTTTTGAGAAATTTGGAGAACCAGTTAGCACCTGCAAGTCTAAAATATTCAAGGATGGTAACAAAGCTAGGCTTTCATTTTTAAAATAAATTTTGAATTACAACTGATTTCTGAAAAGCAGAATTCTTCAAATAATTGGGCTTAAGTTTTCTTAATTTCTTTGGTACAGGTTAGATCACTTATTATATACAAACAAAACTGAATTTGTAATGATAGTTGATGTTACAGATCTGACATTGTTTTCCCAGAATGCCCTATTCAAGCATGCACATCATTTCAATAAAAAGGACTAGCTAAATGTATTAGGTAGAGCTCAAAAGTGCTAGCAAAAATTCAGAAGACAAATGACTACCAAAAATTGTGGAAGCTGGGGAAGGAAGTCTAAACAGCTGTCAATTGTAAAATTATGTCAGTTCCAGTTTTCTCATTTCTTACACCTAATTCTACAAAGCTTGCTTTATGAACAGTGCTTTGCCTCACTCACTGCATTTGCTTCTATGAAAAGAAAGAATGAAATGAAAGAAGTTGCATAACAAAACCCATTGATAAAAATGATAATTTGTTGATTTATATTAGGGATGTCAAAATATTTATTTTCCTTAGTCGATTATTCGATTCCATTATTCGAACGATAGTCGATTATTCGGAACATTTTCTGAAAATAAAATTTAATTTCAAACTTCACTGGTACACGACGTATTTATAACTCAAAAACCCTTTTACTTAAATATGTTTAAAAAGTAACATAAGAATTATTGCAACGTAAAGTTTGATAGCGTGATTATATAAAATAAATTTAGAAATCTCATTCTCCATAATTTGTGATTTCCCCATTAATCAAATTCATAAATTGGTCTGTACATGCAGAGTGAGCATTCAGAAATTGCTAGCCGATATTTTTTAAAGCTTATTACGAAATAAATTTGGGGGGGGGGGGAGGTAATTTCACACTATCCAAATGCCAGGTGGTTGTTAAATTGTTAAACAATTAGTAACTGCTTATTCATTGATTGCTCTGGCTATCAGAAAGTCCTTTGTTTTAATAATTATCGAAGCATCTAAACATGTAACAGCTATGGTTTGTTCCTTGCATTTGAGCAATCTTAAAATAAAAGATAATTGTTACATTGTATAAAATCAAGTCCAATTAATTATTTTACAAACAAAGCCCAGTATATATATTGATGGTTGATTTATTACAAAAACAACACAAGCAGTAACTGATAGATAATTCTCGTGGTAGTGAAGCATTTATAATTACTGTACTTTCTATATACACACATGGAAAATCAAGTTTTTTGTGGAAGAAAATTATCAACTGTCTCCGAGGAAAGATGGTTTCTCAATTTTGTAATGAGAATTCCATATTGTTATCACTCTTAATTGTATTTTTAAAATTACAATATTTGAATGTCGTTTCATTATTCGATCGTCGGTCCATTCGACTGACAGTCAAATAGTTGACTATTCGTTGACATCCCTAATTTATATATTGATAGAAACTATGAATGAGAACTTCCTGGATGAAGTATTGGAGATGATAGAAAACCCAGCCTCCCTGGACCACGATGACCTTTGTACTGACCCACTGGTCAATTTGCTACTGGCATATAATCTCCATTTTCCATACCAAGAAGAAAATGACATCATGTCTTTGCTGGCCAAGAAAGGAACAGTCAAAGTCTTTACTGAAAAACTCTTGGAAATCTTCAATAGAGGAGGTATGAAAATGGAAGACGAATTGTACTGGTGCTTCATGTAGAAGAAATCAAGCAACACTTTTGATGCAATTTGTTAGAACTGTAAAAAAATATTTGAGAACTAAAAATGAGCTTTCTGTGTGTAAGGTCCAGAAAAAGGAAAAAAGGTAGTATCAAAACCATGCCCCTGTTTTGTTAAGGACCCTATACACTAAAGCAAAATGTTTTTCAGACAATGATAAAATGATATTGTATAAAGGTATAAATATTGAGCTTAACTATTTCATTTTCAACATAGGGTATGTGACATTTATTCACAGGAAAAATAAAATTTAAAGACAATGAAGTAGTGATGAACAGAAATCATTGTTATTTACTTAAATGGGGAAAAAGTATAAAAATGAAATGTTCAGTTTATTTATCTTGGACTATTCAAATGTTAAGAATACTTGCATTTATTACAAATTGAATAATAGACTGTAGATTTAAATTTGTTAAATTTTAGACTTAAGGGCAGATTACTCTAACTCCAAATAATTCTATAGAATCAGAGCTCTTTGGTGTGCAGTGTATAGAGGGTTTTTAAATTTTTGTAAAATCTAGGGTACTGACTGTTACAATAGGTGATTTAACACAGAGTGTGTTCTCTTTCAGAGGACCCAGTGAAGATGTTTGATCACCAGACCTACCCGGTCCAGTCACAGGTGAAGTTTATGATTGACATGTACAGTCAGCCTAGCACCGCCTCCCTTCTGTATGTTAATGATGCCAAGGTGTTGATTGACATCCTGATACGATTCCTCACAGACCTACAACCTGGAGACAAAGTAGGGACCTATGCGTTACTTTTATAGTTGAATCCACACTTTTCAAAAGTTATGTCCATTGGCCGCCATCTTTGGGAAAAAACCCATAGAATTCCCACAGTGGCCTTTGAAACTTTAACATTTGTAACTTTGTCATTTGACATTAAATGGTTTTTAAATTTTGTATTTTGATTGCCCCAGGATGGGCCTAGCCATACATTGAAAGGAAAATTTTTCATCACAGTGAATTTCTGGCAGCATGTTCAAATGTTTGGTAGTGTAAAGAAGAGAAACATTGCTGTTTTCCCTTTTGACCTTTTGCTTGACCCCACAAAGGGAAACAACTTTTGCAAAGTTTGGATTGGACTATTCTGTATCATAGTATTTGATTTTGTGGGTGAAGTGTTGTCACATATTTGAAATTTTTGGGACACATGTATATGTGGGTTTCTTCATACCACAAAAACCAACAAACTTAAACCCCCACAAAAATGAGTGATTTCACAGTTTATCACAGTATATGTAATATTTTTATCCGTGTTCTAGATAAGTAATGGTTGCACCTCTCTTGTCATTGCAGCTTCGATCTTCAATTCTCATACTATTGAAACTGCTTGTGAAAAATTCTGATTACTTTGAATACCAGCACAAACTTGCTGAACTGCGGGAGTGTATAATGATGATTAGGAAGGAGGAAGAGGAAGCTACTGCACAAGACAGGAAGGAAGTAGAAATTATCCTGGAGGAATTCAACAAACACATGAAGAGCAAAGGGGAAGTGAGTGCATAACACAAAATGAAAGTGAAGTTTACCTTACAGGATAGAAAAGTCTTACAAGGAACAAAGTGAAAGCCAGTGCATTAAACTATCAGCTTTTCGTATGCAGTAGGAACTCTGAAAAGGAAAGAGGATATTACTCTGTAATTGTGTACTGTATTCAGATTTAGTTTATTTAAACATTGTGGTTTTATTCTCACGTTATAGCATTTCCTTTATGCAGCTAAATAAACCTGTAAAAATTCAGTTTTCAAGGGTACACCCATTGTATGTAGTTTTTCACAGAGTGTAAATGTTTGATGGTGTTAAATTTGTCATAAAGAAGGTTTGAACAGTAGATTTCTATACTAGTTGTAAATGTATGTGCTATGTAACTTATTATGATCAGTGTGCCATATTATGTTCATTTGTAGCCTCCTCCCCCCTTTTCAATTTAAACAAAATTCTTTTTCTTGTATTTGGTCACTATAAATGTCCAAAAATTGTGTTGTAAGCTTTTTACTGTATTCAAAATGAAGTTAGTCATTTCTACAATGAATCCATGCCAAAGAAAATAAATGTTGTCCTGCTACATTTGTTATGTGTCCAGCTTTAATACTCTTGCATTATATTTCAGTGTCATTACACACAGATATGCAGTGTAGACACACATGAATAAGTTTTGTTAGTTTCGTTTATTATGTGTACAATGCAGTGAGAAAGCCAGTACACAGAGAGTGTATTGGACGGGATTGTTAACCAGTGTATTTGAGCCTTATCAAGCAGTTTATGTATGTGTATATTGCAATTTTAGTGATTTAATAAATTTCTTAATATATGAAAACTCTTTGTTTTCATTGAGTGATACGACCACTCTGGTTTTACATCATTAAATCCATGAAGTGCTCTATTAACATTTTTCTCTACATTTCAAACTTTCATTTGCTGAATTTGAAAATGTCATTGGCATTAGTGTGCTTTCTTTTTAAATCTTCACAGCATATTCTTTTAAAAATAATTCCCGTGTGTCATTTGTCAAGCTGCTCATGGTTTATAAGATGCAAGGAGAGAATTTTATGATTGTGAAAATCCTTTCATTTATTTTACGTATTTTACATGTGGGTAAATTAAAAAAAAATTTCTTAACCAGGGTACATACTAGTAGTTCTATTGTAAACTCAAGAGAGATATTTCATAAAGTTGTACTCACCAACAAAATAAAATGTGTTTGAGTACCGTATATACTCGCCTATAAGTCGGTTGTGATTTTTGAGGTTATTTTGGAGGTATTTGCCATTGACCCGCCTATAAGTCGGTACAACTTTTTGCCAGGATTGGTGGACAATTTCATATCAATGCTCTAATGTTTTAACGTGTTTTAAATAATATTTTAAGAAATTACGCCGATTTTTATCTCTCTTTTTTTCTTCTCTTATAAATTTCGTATCAATACTCTAATGTATTTACCTGTGTTCAAATAATATGATAGGATATGACATCGGTAATTAATATTTTTATTTTTCAACAAACCAAACCACTACCATTTTAGTTTTCTTTTTTATACTGTTTTGTTTAAGCGTTAAATTCCTTGTCTTTTTATACACCGATCTCGATCATAGGTGGATCTCGGTCTCTTTGGCATGGTGAAGAACTATGTAACGAGGCTAGTAACATTTTGATGATATTTAATTAGGAGGTGCTCAATGTCCAAGCCATATCTATAGTTTTTAATAACGCTTATGTTTGATCTTTTATTAGCAATTACGGTCTCTTAATTACCTGTATCCCTTACCTGACACCGTGCTTATTTAGTGGCACGCGCCCCGAGAAAATCGTATACTACACATGGGAATATTCATTCATAAACAATCGAGTTTTAATAGCCCCAGAATAATATTCTGAATTATTTTTTTAAGAATATCATTTCTGTTGTCAAAAACATTGCAGACGGTACATATAATTATACATTAATGCTGAACGTATAACCGGTATATCGGGTTCGTAATTCAATTTTACCGACAAACGATAGATTTACAGTAAATCAGAAGTTAATTAAAGAAATATTTTTGTTTATAATTAATCAAATAAATAATATACACTTAAGATCAAAATAAAATCATTAAAACATGTAAATACTTGTACTTTATATATAATCTTAGAATACATAAACAATATAATACGTCCAGACATTTCTCAACGATAATCGTCGAAGTTATGCTGAAAATATTACATTTCGTCGTCTAGAAAAATACCAAGCTTTTGATGACTCGCCTATAAGTCGGACATAGAGTTTTGGACCAAAATTTAACTCCCAAAAAACCGACTTATAAGCGAGTATATACGGTATTCATTTTATATTAGTAATGAAATCATTGTGCATGTGCATTTGCTATCTTGTCAAGAATCTGAGGTTTGGGTATTTTTGCAAGGAAATTCAGTTTTAAAACTTTTAACTTTTTTTTAAGGTACAGATAAAATTTATGTACAGGAGCAATTTCACAAAAGGCAAAGAAAGAACAAGTCAGATTTGTTTGTAATACACAATATATTTGTTATTACAATATCCAGGTGTAATATAAAATGAGAACCAGATGCTAAGAATATAGTTTGCAATTGTTGTGAAATGTAAAAAAAACTGAATAAATACGACTTACTATAAAGTGTGAAAAATAAATTTTGTTGCCATCTTCTGTGCAGACTTTAAAACAACATCTATGTAATGTGTTGTATATTAGATGCAATTACAGTGAGTGCTTTTAGTTTTGTTAAGAATACAATTTAACCTCTTAGTCAGTAGTGTAGTAGGAAACGAGGAATGGTAAAAAAAATATGGCTGGATTGGGAATCAAACCTGGGGCCCCGGTATCACTAGTTAGGTGCTCTAACCACTAACTTCCCCAGGCTGAAACCACGTCCAATATATATGTAGCCCAAACTAGGACAATTCATCCAACATTTCATTTTGCATATTGCTAGCATAAGGGAAGTGATGTTATGAATTTAGTAAACTTTTCAGCCAGCATTTATTGTACTGCATAACATCATTTTTAAAAAAACGGCGTTCAGACGTGTTCCATCGCTAGTGGCCAGATAGCTCAGTTAGTAGAGCACCCAACTGGAGATTCAGGGGTCCCGGGTTCAAATCCAGGTATAGTCTGTGGCATTTATCCCCTTTATGACAGGTTAAAGTCATGCCAGGGAAGAGCCAGGGTTGATGTCTTCGGGGGCAAAAACCTTTAAGGAGAGAGGAATGTGGCGGTCAGACGGATTCAATCCTGGTGGTCAGGTAGCTCAGATGGTAGAGCACCTGACTGGAGATTCAGGGAACCCGGACCTCGAATCTCGGTCTGTTCCGTAACATTTTTTGTCCTTTCCTGTTACAAAGTTTGTTTTCTTATACTGATAAATTCCAATAACTTCTGGAGATACCAGACTTCTTGGATGATTCTCAGATTATGTGTAATATGCCAGGTTTCCTTAGTCAATTGTTAGGTGTTCTAAGCCATGCCAGATGATATATGGTATGTTCTATACATGTATGAACTGCCACAATCAACTATAACGGGTATTTTCTGTCAATATCAAAAGGCATTTTCAGTATTTTGGCTTATGTCAGTCCATTCTATTATACATTTTATATAGACTATTGTTGTCAGCGACAATATATACATGTATATGTCAATCAACATTAATGGTTTATATTGATGCCAACACCTAATCATTGTTGCCAATGCAAAGAATGCAATCTTTTATAACAAAAATCGCCGTCAGATAAAAATAAATAAATAAAAGGAATGTTTTATCATGAAGATGCAAATGAAGTTGATTTCTATAAATACTGATACTAAAAACTGGCCTGGCAACAAGATGGCTGTTCAAGAGGAGACTCGGTTTGTGAAGGATTGATAATGTAAAGATGTTCAGTTTTACAGGTGAGAAAGCAGAGAGAGAGAGAGAGAGAGAGAGAGAGAGAGAGAGAGAGAGAGAGAGAGAGAGAGAGAGTAAATGTATAGAGAATCACAGACACTTTAGAGGAAGTTTGCATTATAAGAAGCAAAATTAACGGATGCAAGTGTTATAACAGTATTTTAATTGAGGTTCCTGTGACAGCCGAGGCAAAATAATTCCTGAATCTCCCAATTAGGGAATTTCTGCACTTTGCTGGGACTTAAAATATTCAAAAGTGAAAACTCTATACGAAATTTCCAGATCCTTTCAAATTCATTCAAATTTTGAAATGATAAGAATACTAGTATATAGAAGAATTTAATACTTCAGTGATACCTGCATAATTTCAAGAAAATCAACACCTAGTTAAGTTTTGGAATTGGGTTACGTGTAGGAGATTTGCCTTCTTAAAATGCTTACACTGTATAATCACTTAAAAAATGTTTGAAATTTTTGTGGTTTATGAAAAAAAATAATATTGATTGGAGGGGATTTAATTTCGTATTTGATGGGCATACTTGATCTGTACTTTGTATTTCTAACATTTCGTAGAAGACATGAATTCGAAGGTTTCTTCACAGGATCGGATCCAGCAATTTTTGAAAGGGGGGGGGGGTCCAGGTCGGTGCTCCCAACATTCATGCAAAGAATCACGTCACAGGCACTTCAAGTCCGTAGCAATGGTTTTCAAAAGGACCAACCTCCGAACAGAGTTGTCAAGCAAAAAAAAAAAAAAAAAAAAAAAAAAAAAACAAAACAAAAAAAAGCAAAACAAAACAAAAAGAAAAACAAAAAACAAAACAAAACAAAACAAACAAACAAACAAACAAAACAAAAAACTGTGCACCTCATTCTTAGATCCTATTTTGGAGTAAGGGGGGGGGGTTCCTCTTACTTTTCGGCACTTTTTTTCGGTTTCAAATGCTTGAATTTATGTATTTTAAATTTCCAGCAACAAAATGGGGGAGCATCCAAATCAAAACTTGCATATTGAAAACTACAGCAAAAGATTATTCTCAGAAAAAGTGAACCCACTCCCCCCCTCCCCCGCATACAACTAGGGAATTTTAACCTTTCTCTTCATAGATTAAAATATCACCATAATATTCTCTTATGTATACTCCTTTTCAAGACTTTTTATGCATACTGTTTTAAGTTAGTTACTTCAGAAGATGGCCAAAAATGGCATAGCTGAAGTTTGCTGGAATCTTTCAATGATATCAAAGTAAAGTCTTGCATGTTTCTTATGGGTGGTCGGGGCCCGGGGCCAAGGTTCTAAAGGTACGCGGAGGATGGCAAATACGGGACACTCTACCTAGCGAGCAGAAAGGGCAGAGATTAATTTATTCAAAATATTAGACGTTAAATTATCTATATTACAGAAATCTCTCTCTCTCTCTCTCTCTCTCTCTCTCTCTGCACAAATAATGGGGGGTTCGAACCCCCGGAACCCCCCCTGGATCCGCCAATGCTTCATACCAAGAAACCGTTCACGGTAGCTCAGTCGGTAGAGCGCTCGCTCCGTGATCGGGAGGTAGTGAGTTCGGATCTCGGCCGCGACTGACCTAAGTCGATAAAAAATGGGTAGCAACTGTTCCTTCGCCATGCGCTCGGCATTTTGAAGTGAAAGTTGCGGGTCCTTCGGATGAGACCTTTAAAAACCGAGGCCCCGTGTCATGGCAGGCGTTGGCACGATAAAGATCAATCACTGCTCAGTGGCCCTGAGTGCCGAGTAAAGGTCAAAATTTGAAGCCCTTCACCGGTATATGGTGATGTCTCTATATGAGTGAAAAATTCTCGAATGGGACGTAAAACAACATACAATCAATCAATCAATCATACCAAGAAAAAAAAAATGACAATTACCCCCTACCCCCGCCCCTGAAAAGTTTTTATTTCGGATTATTTAGAATGCATCGATTCCTTTTAATTTTACGAAGCATGTATCAAATTCTCAAGTACTGGATCGTATTCTACATCGCAGAAACTGTGATGATTACCTACGGTTCGGATTTCCAGTAATTAAGGATACATAACACAAACAAACATTTGATGCCTGGATTGATGTATATTTTTTGACTGATTTTGAATAGAAATTACATAAATAATAAATCCCTAAAATATAAAGAAATCATAAGTTTTCTTTGGTGCTTAACTATGCGACTTTTGTTTTCTATATAATTCTATACAAAATTTTGCACATATTTTTAATACTGCGACAAAATCTTACAAAGTCATCCAACTTTACCTGGTAAACATCATTCAGGTTATTTATTTGAATATAAATCTATGAGAAATATTGCTGTTTTCTGAAAAAAGTTTGTGTTATTTATCCTTAAGCTCATTTTAAAATATTTTGCATTTAAAGAATCAGTAGATATGGTTATCATACAAAAAACATGCACAATACAAGTCAGCATTTTATTTTAATTTTTAATGGTATCATACAATAATTTTTCCGTTAGAAATATTGCATTTCGTTGTAAAGAGGTCAGTACCTATCGAAAGATGTGTATTAATGGTTTGTTGAAAATACATGTACCATTCTATTTCATTTTTTTTTCACTTCATATATTTTATTTTCTTAACATTCCCGCTAAAACACTCTGCAACATACAGACTATCACTTTTGTCTATATATAAACCATATGGACCCTTCAGATCACAGTTATCTATATAACGGAGGAATACTCCATCCTGGTCTAAGATGTGGATACAGTTGTTATCACCGTCTGCAGTCAGGATCTGACTCTGACTGTCTGTTGTTATCCCATAAGGTTCAAATGGTTTGTTCTTTGTAGCACAAGGATGACCAGTGTATCTAAATCGGAGTTTACCAGTCTGGTTAACCACTACTACAGCACCGGTACCACAGTCAGCCACACAGATATCCAGGTTTCTGTTCTCAGTGATGTACTTAATTTTGTTATTTCCTGAATATAAAGGTCTACCATCCTCATCAAACTGGATTATTTGTTTCACTGTGGAGCCTGAGTAACGGACAGCTTTGGCTTGTGTTTTATCATCACTGTACATAGTAACCAGGAGATCACCAGAGGAGGTGACACATAGTTGTGAAGGTACCCAATCCTGTAGTGTGATCACTTCCTCTGTCTGTCCATTTTTCACTTTATTCACACTCCTTGTTTTCCAGTCAGAGTACAATAGACCCCTATCAATTGCCACTGCTATGTCATATGGATATTTCTCTGATTTTGTTTTTATTGATTTGATAAGCGAACCTTGCATATTAAAGCATTTCATGTCACTGACATTTCTTGACCGTGTCCAGATTTCATCTTCACCAAAACAGATAACACTTAAAAGTTTTTCAGACCCAGTATTTATGGTAGTGATAAGTTCTGGTTCTCCCAACAGTTCTTTGGTTGCTGACACTGGCTTCTTTAGTCTGTACCCCTCTTCTTCTCTTGTGGTGGATAATGCTGCCAGAGACCCAAATGACTTGCCAAACTGATCTGTATCTATTGTCTTTGGACGGAACGTTGGCAGGGATACTTGAACTTTGGGAGGAAGTCTTCTGAATTCTGTGTTTTTAGAGATGTATTCCATGGTCATGAACACTTCATTTGATTCTTCAATTCTATTTAGGTTAAGCAATGTTTCCTTAATGCTATGTTGTATCTGTTTGATTTCATCCAAATGTTTTTTCAGAATGCTAATATGTTTAATCTTTATTTCTTCTATGTCTGCTTTCATTTTATCAACAATGGTATTTATTACTCTTTTGCATTCTTCCCCATGCTTTGTCACTGCTGCTGTAAGTTTCTCATAATTGCTATCCAGGTTAGCTATCTGAATTTGTATGCATATTGCAATTTCTTCATATGTCGGAGAAATTACGTTTTCTAATTCTTCAGTATCTTTTTCAATAACCTCCTTCTTTGAATTATAGATATCAGAAAGAGTTGAAACCGTATGCCCTTTATGTGTATCAGCTATAATGCTACACAAAGAACAAACAGAAGTGTTGCATTCTTTACAATGAAATTTACATCTTTTTGTTTGATGTGTTGTGCACTTCGGATAAATCAAGGTTGATTTTCTCTGTTCGAACGGGACAACTTTATGTTTGTCATAGTCATCAGAAATATGTTTTCCTATACAAGAAATGCACAGGTTGACATGACAGAGATCACAGTACTTCTGCACTATAGCATCCTCACAAAGGTCACATCGGACGACATCTTGGGCACTGTTGCTGGGATCCATGTTGAATCTAAAATATAAATGATATACCAGTATTACAGGAGAGCATAATCCGTAAATGAGTTTTAAAATGGAAGTATCTTTTGAACTCAGTAAATGAATAAATATTATTCACTACTTAAACCAAAAAAAATGCACAGTTTTATTAAATAACCCTAATAACAACTCGTTTATTAAACTTATAAGAGGATAATTATTTCATTCAAGATACTGAGTATATTGTTTTGAAAAATAAATGATTATGTCTGTTCTTTAAATTGTCAGAGGACACACCTCAGTCTTTTTTGCAGTATTTGTCTAAAACAAATGTATACTCCTTTAATGCTAATATAGTTACTTACGTCTACAATTAAATCATTCTAAATATACATGTAGTAAGAAATTCCTTAGATCAGGGAATTGTAGTTTCATTTCTGTGATTTAAGAATCACAAATGGCGGACTTTTTTATCACTAGCTGGTCTTGAGGTAAATATATAGGTAAACTTCCTGGTCTTATGTCATTTGGAGTTATCTCTCTTGTGTTGTATAATAATAATGATGTGTATTATATTGTTGATATACCTGTGTCATGATCTGCAGGTTAACATAACTATAAGGGTTTATTTCTTCTACATTAATCTAAAAATAGATTGAGAGATTCCAAATCGAAACAATTAGTTCTGAAAGTTCCACTCAGGTTAACAAGTTATTTATGCACTTAGAATCGGGGGGGGGGGGGGGTTATCCCCAACTTTAGGTTAAAAAATGTTAATTGAAAATTAAGTTGCCCCCTCCCCCCAAACCCTCCTACATTAATGAAATCTACCCTCCCCCCAAATGAAGTTTGGAGAATTCGCCTCTTTTTTGGGGACTGTCAAAAATTTTTCCAGCTAAGTTGTCATTTTTCTTTATAATGCCCCCTCCCCTTTTGAAAAATCGATGCTATGTTTCTCTATGTTCCTGACAATAATTTTTTCTACCTCGCACCAAACATGTCGTTTGGCTAGGTTTCAAGCAAATGTTACAAAGAAAGATGACGTGGCTTGCTAAATGAGTTTGTATCATTTATTTATTGAACATATAATAAAACATTTATTCTTTTTTTTCTGTCAATAAGCTGACTTAGCCACCCTGTGAAGTACAATATTCACCTCGTCCTGGGGTTAGGTGAATACTGTACCCCTCAAGTGGCTAAATATCGTATTGTCTTCAAAAATAGAAATGATTGTGCAAAATGAATGTGAATTAATCGAAATGGTTAGAATAATAGTAATTAATTTACAAATACAGGTCTCGAAGAACAGATACATGTTTTATTTAGACAATCTAAAGCAAAATATTTTAAAAGCAGAATTATACAGCTGGAGAAATTATAAAGGAATTCATTAATGATAAAACTTTTCTTGATTGAAGAAATAGTATTTATTTCGTAATAATTTATTATCTATTTCTATTGCAAGAAGTTTGATTCAATTGTAGATGAAGGAATACTTAGTATTTAGACTGTGACAGGAATGTTTAATAACAATTAATACTCTGTCCAAGCATGGCTGTTTTTCAATGAACGCATTATACAGAAAGACGTTACTAACATTCTTTGAAACCATTTAGATGTAGCGTAAGAGTAAGATTCTATAATATGTCCATAAGACATGAATGCTCGTCGAGGGCACATTTCTAATGAAACATGACAAGAAATGTACCGTGATATTGCTTCTTCGGTCTGAGCTAAGCGTGAAATATGATAAAAGAAGGCAGCATTTTCAAATTATTTCTCATATACAGAACTGATACCTTTAGTGCAGTTGTTGACAGTTATTTTGTAACATGGTATGTAAAGTGTTGATTCATCCTATTTAACTAAGTGCTAAATAAATTTTCAAAGTTTCATTTTTATTCTCTGATATGAAACAAATTTATATATGATTTCTTAGGTTGGTTCAGTTAAAATGCTTTCATAGAGATATATCTGCGTATGCGTTAAATCAAAATAATCCTTTAATGGAATAAAAAAAAAGCTGGAATAAGAGCAAAACGAGGAGACAAAGTAATATTGGATGTAATAGTAAAGGCCAAGGTAAGAAAACAATGGCACATTTGAATTGCTTCACCAATGTGTATCGTTGTATGAAGGTTAAATAAAAATTCTGCAAAAGGGATATTAAAGGGCATAAAAAAATTTAGGTTGTCCGGATGATTTACGTAATAAAATTATGACATAGTTGATATTGCCTTTCCAATATGTATCTTTGTATGAAGTTAAATTTTTAGAAGCTTTAAAATGGAAATTGAAGGTTATAGAAAAGTTAATGTCATAAGGATGGTAGAGTTAAAATTATGACAGAGGTGAATTGGTCTTAGCAATACGTATATTTGTATGAAAATAGAAGTGAATTGAAGGTCATCGAGAGAATGTCACGGTCAGAAAATTATTGTACAAGCTAAATGCCATCTTAATGAGGAATGAGAGAATTCCAGTTTTTAATGATACACTGGCTGTGTTTAAGTGTTCACTGACTGTACATGTTTGGTGGTGTTGTCATAAACAAGCTTTGACAGTAGAATTCTTTCATGTATATGTTATGTAACCTATTATGGACAATGTGCCATAGTATCTTTATATGTATAATCCCCAACCCCCCACATTTTCTCTCTCCCCCCCCCCCCCTTTGGCATTATAAATGAAATGTTTTTGATTTTTTTTTTTTATAATACAGTATTCAGCATTAAGTTCATCATTTTCAAAATAAATTTAGCTAAAGAAAATATTATCTTGCTACATTTGCTGTTTATCCAGCTCTGTCACAATACTCCTGCATTATATTTTAATGTTGTTGCACACATGCTGTCAAGCAGTGTAGGTACATATGAATAAGTTTTGTTAGTTCTTCATTTGTTACACGTGGAATGTAGTAGGACCATTACATAGAGAATGTATCGAGTTGTCAACTGGGCTATTTGAGCCTTATCAAGGAATGATGTTTATGTACTCTTACATGTATTTTCCAACTGTAGTGATTATAATAAATAGTTTAGTAAATATAATTGAGTGATATCACCACTGTAAGGGATTTATAGGATTAAATCCACAAAATATATGCTTTATTTACATTCATCTGTATATTGCAAACTGAATTTGAAAAAAAATGTCATTGAAATTAGTTTGCATTCTTATCAAATCTTCACAGTATAAATTTTAAGAGCCATTCCCTGTAATGACTTGAACTTTTATATAGGAGCTGTGGCACGCATAGTCTCAGAATTTCTCCAAACTCTGTATGATAAAAGTCATTGATACCGTTCACTCAAATCAGGCAAAAATCGGTTGCTACGTGTCATGGTTACCATAGCAACATGTCCTAAAGTTTGAAAAATTGCATTTTTCAACATGTTCAAAGTACAACAGTTAACGCAGGTGAGTTAAGGCTAGGTATAGGCATTTCTAGGCAAATAATCTAATTAAAATGCCTAAGAACTATATCTATTATACAGAGAAAGTTAAAACTTATTGTCTAATACATACTTGGTACCCACGGCATAAGATAGTCAGTACACATTATGACGTCATATTATGACGTCATTGTTCTTTACTACACAAGATTATAATGGATATCAACAAAAATGCTTCGGCGCAAGGGCATGCTCTATTTTATATAACTGAAACAAGGTATATTTAGAAGCAAAATATTCCATAGTTTGCTGCTATTGCTGCACAAATATCAACAGCTCAGTTGTATAATTTCTATTTGTAAAGTTTTATGTTGAATAAGAGTAAAGTTTTACAGTCCGGTATAAGTTTCCTCGAATTCCGATCAAATGAGAAAATGCATAGGATTTGTGCAGTAGTTTTATTAATCTATAGAATATTCTTCTTAGCATTATACAATTTTTATGTAAATATAAATAGGGAAATCCCTTGCGCCGAAGCTGTTTTGTTGATGTGTTTCATAACCTCCAGTAGGTAAGATCAGTGACGTCATAATATGACGTCATAATGTGCTCTTGGTTATAACATGTCGTGGGTACTAAGTATGCATAAGAAAATAAATCAACACTTTCTCTTTATAATAAATATACCTCTTATGCGGTTTTATTAGCTCATTTGCATAGAAACGCCTATACATAGCCTTAACTCACATGCGAACGTTTGCAGCAAAGCAAACAAGTGGCAATGACTGTTTCTGAAAGTTGAAGGCCTGGTGTCTTAAATACATGATAAACATTTTTGGTAAATCAACTATAACATACGTTACTATGGAAACAAAGAATTCAAAAGTAATAATTTTGTTTATTTAATTTTAAAAACAATTATGGGTTGAAATGCAAGCAAACAATAGACAAGAGATCCTTGTAACATATACCAAGGACAAAATATGATATTTCTTATAGGCTGGCAATGGTTGCCATGATTTTAATACCACAAAGGGATTTTAAATTTACTCTCTTAGTGTTTTAATCTTATCCTATCTTTTTAAAAAATCATATTTCTATATAACTGATGATCAATTTTTAAAGGTGTTGGTGTGACCCTAATTTTCATATTTCAAAAAATTCAATTTCAATTCTTTAAATAGTGCGTTGCTATGGAATAAAGGCGAAAAAAAAATGCATAAAAATCTGAAAAATACTCTGTTTCCTTGGATACGTACCCTTGTATGTAGATTCTCAAAACTTTAATGATTGAACAACTAACCTGACTTTCAATTTTGACTACCACCCATTCTCTAACTGGATGGCACATTGGGTCTAATATTGACATAAAATTAACAAAATCAAACATTTTCTCTTCTTGGTAACCATAGCAACGGTGTTGTATTTTTCAACAAACTTTATCAATATATGATATTCAACTTTAGTTCTACCAGATAAGTACTACTCAAGGTGAGTCAAATAATACGTTTCTTGATTAAAAGGTTAGTAAATTCCTAAAGCAGCAAAAAAATATCACTTTAAACAACTAGTACGTTGTTTCCATGGTTACACTGCAAAGTAACAATTAATCCCAATTTTTCTTATGTTGTCGGTGTTG